AAATCAGGTTAAAATGATAAATGAATTATTAAAAAACAAATAGTGTGTGAAAAAATTTGTCAAATTTTTGTTTTTTTTTTGTTGTTGTTTTTGTCGCAATTTTTTTTTTTTTTTTTTTTTTTAACAAATGATGAGGGAGGAGGGAGGAAATTTCGAACGTAAATATTTATCAAATATGTTTTTTTTCTACAAAATTTTCGAACCCTTTTTTTTTTTTTTGGAAAATTTTTTTTTTTTTGTTGTTGTTAATTCAAAGTATCCATTAGATATCATTAATAAAATTATACAACAATGAAATGGTATTGATACCTTTTGATTCTATTATTCTCATAATCCGAAACATGTGCTCGTATCAAAAGTTAAAAGGAAAAAATGATAATGATGATGATGATGGATCCTTTTACCCCCTAACCGTTTCCAAATTTTTGGAAAAAAAAACCCTAAAAACCCTAAAAACCCATAATAAAGTCCCATTAACTGTCGGATTATGTCACAATATATATATTTGCATACTTTTTTTCTTTCTTTCTTTCTTTTTTTTTTAAATAAACGTTTTGGAGGGAAATTTAAACTTTTTTACTTTTGGGGCGCTTTTTTTTTACTATTTTTTACGTAAATACGAAAAGAGGACAAAAATAATAATAATAATACTTTTTAAAGGTTGGGGGAAAAAAAAATAGTAAATCTATAAATTCCGAACGATTTTTTTTTCTTAATGAAAAAAAGTACAAAAATTGCCTTAAGAAAAATATTTTTGGAATAAAATAAAATACCTTTGATTTGTTAAATAAATAAATAAATAAACTATTTATTTAAACTATTAAAGTTATTTAACAAAATTTTTATTTAAAAAAATCTTTAAATTTATTTAAAATCTTCGAATTCAAAAATTAATCCTCTTGAATTATGTAATTTAACACAATCTTTTGGTTATTTATTTTTACATCGTGTAAAATTTTATTATCAAATTGATATTTTTTTGGATTTTCTTCAGTTTTTTTTTTTTTACTGAGATTGAATTTATGTGAATAATCATTATTATCGTTATCACAATTATCATTCTCGTTAAAATAATAATAATAATAATACGAATTTATTTTTTGAAATGTGCCACACACACACACACACAATCAAATTTCAAAAATAAAAAAAAAACCTTAAATAATTTGATAACGTTGAATAAAATTTTTCTTTATTGTGATAACAAAGAAACTTCTTAACTTAAGGCTCTTAATACTTTTGTCCTTTTCTTTTATTATAATCAACCTTAAACCTTTTTCCATTCGGTATAAAAAATACCAAATACATGTTTCCTTAATATAATGTATAATATTTTTCATAAATATTTTTAAGTAACCCAGAAATTCTTCATGTTTCAAATTTTAAATAAAAATTAATTAGAAAGAATTTAATTACTGTCAAAAGATAAAGAGAGAGAGAGAGAGACAGAGTGTGTGTGCGTGTGTGAGAAAGAGAGAGAGATTTATCACAAATTTATTCCATTAAAATGTACATTTTCCATATATTTTTTTTTTTTTTAATCACCAAAATTCTAAATTAAAAATCATTTCAAATTCTTACCTAAAAAAAAGATGGATGCATAAACAAACGATTATAATTAAAATAAATAAAAGAGAGAGAGAGAGAGAGAGAGAAAACATTAACGGTGATAACATCATAAGAAAAAAAATATTAGAATTTAATAATTTTTTTTTTATTCAATTTATTTTAAAATTCGATTTATTTTAATAATAAATTAATAAAAATTAATAAATTTAAATATGCGGTTAGTAGTCGAGTTTAAACCCACGATTTATTTATAATTTTATTTAATAATAATAATAATATGTAGTAATAATCTGATTGGTTAATTTTTTAAATAACATCCCCCATGTTTATACACGAAAACGTTTTGGGGCTCATCATCGAGGCGTGGGTAAAGAATTGATATAAGTAAACTTACACAATTCGAAGGGGTTGTTTTTAATTGAAAAATCCAGTGGCAGAAGAGTTTTTTTTTTTTTTAAATAAATAAATAATCATATATGACTTAACATACTGCGACGTATACATAGGAGAAACTTTTTTTTTTTGTGTCGATTGAAATGGCGCTGCATATACCATTGTTAAATCCAACCCCAAAAAAAAAACGAACCCTTAGCCCCGTGTAGTATGCGGTTCTCTTAACCATCCATGACAGATGAACCAATGCACACAAAATATATATTAGTGTAAATCAAGTTAAGGTAGTGTAAGGGTGTTTTTTTTTTTGTGTAAAAAACAAAGTGACATACATGTAACGGTGAAACGGGATTTGAAAAATAAAAAAAAAATGTCGCGATCATTTTTAGTGGATTCTCTTATCGATAAAGATTCATCGAAAATGACGACATCATCATCATCATCATCATCGATACCAATAAATTTTTATCCGCATTTTTATCCTTATACTCCACCGTTTGCCGCTAATTATTTATTTAACTTTGGACGAATGCCGTGGGATAGTAAAAAAAACGATTTGATTAAAAATATAAATTCTGGGATTGTCAATCGCGAACATGAATCTAGTCATAGAATGGATAATTTAATCATTCCTAATTATTATCCGCAAAATATTCACGAGCCGAAATGTTTAAGGCCTAATTTAATAGAAACGAATGCAAAAATATATGAAAAATCAAATTCTCCTACGTCATCAGCGTCTTCCGATAAAGGAGGAAGTGATTTTAATGTTGAAAAATTATTAGGAGTCAAAACGAATTTATCAGAAGGTATGATTGATATTTTGTAAATTGTTAAAACCCCTCTTCCTCCCCCGCAAAGGGGTAAGGAACAATAATTTCCCCTGTTTGACAACTTTTGATACCTTTCATCACCGGATTTTGAAGTAGAAAGTAAAGTAGCGATTACTGATGTCAAAAAAAAAAATTTTTCTTTCAGGAAACGAAGGTAAAGTGACGAGAAACCTTTCGCCGAGGCAAACGTATTTAACAAAGGAAAGATCGAAAAGTAGGAGTCCTTTGAGCAACGATCCAAATAGTAGCAGTAAAAGAAATCGTACGGCATTTACAAGCGATCAACTATTAGAACTCGAAAGAGAATTTTCCTCAAACATGTATTTATCGAGACTTAGAAGAATCGAAATCGCAACTTATTTAAAACTGTCGGAAAAACAAGTGAAAATATGGTTTCAAAATCGTAGGGTTAAACATAAAAAAGGTGATGCGGGAGTCGTCGGACAATTATTTCACGGTTCTGTCGTCGAACCGAAATGCTGTTGTTCCGCTAATTATTCTTTTCATAAAAGTAAAACGATGGAAAAAGATAAAAATAATGCGACGGATGAAGATGACGATGAGGATGATGAGGAAGATGACGGTGTGGATAATAACAGTGACGTTGATGTTGATGTTATCACGAGTGATAAGAATTTAACTTATAAAAAATTATTTAATACGTTTTACGCGACGGGTAAATAAAAACCGGAAATAGATACCGGAAGTTAAAACGATTTTAATTTTTTTAAATACTATTGTTAAAAGTTAATAAATGAAAAATATTAAAATTTTTTTATTTTTATCAATTAAACAAAGGAAAAAATAAATAAATTTCGTGACGTTAAACAAAAAAAAAGTTATGAATTATATAAATGATGTTATGACGTATATATATGTATAATAATAATAATAATAATAATAATAAAATGTTATGTATATTAAAAATTTTTAATAAATAATAAAATTTAATTGTTACTTTAAATTTAAAAGTGATTTTTTATCATTATTTTTTTTCAAATTTTTTTCAATCTCGCGCCATTTTCACACTTTATTTAAATAATATATA